TTGTTTTTTGTAGAAGAATAATGTTTAGTTTATAAGATTTTAATAATATTAAAGTATTTCTTTGTTTTTATTTGTTATTAAGCTCTTTGATATTTAGAGTTGCTAGTGTTAGTTTTGATTTAGTTATTGTTTAGATAAAGAGAAAATTTATATGTTTTCAAGAGTTTTGTTTTTATTCAAATTTCTGGTTTTCAAGTAGGGTTTTTCTTCTTCTTGCTTTTTGTAAAAGCTTTTTTTAACTTTTTTTTGCTTGTTAGTAACTAATATAAATTTTGATTTATTTTTCTCAAGATTAAGAAAGAGAGTAGTTTGGTATATTGCTAATTACCTTTCAGCTTGTTGTTGCTGATTAGACATAACCAAGTTTTCTGTATTTATTTTTGATAGAACTTCTTATTAGTTTAAGGATTTTCTGTTATCAATTTTTAAATCAAGTTGATTACTTGCCCAAACAAGAGATTCTTTGTTAAATTGCAAAATAGTAACTGCAATGACTTCACATTCTTGAACAACTGAATTTTTTTTTCAAAAAGTTTTCTTGTATAGTAATTTGTTTTGCATATTAAAAGTTTTTAAAACATTATATAAGGGTTTTGTTATCTATTTGGCTTTGTTTTCTTGATACTTCTTATATTATTGTCTAAGTTTAACTGTTTTCTTAAATTGTTTACAATTTTTTTTTAGGTATCCTTTCTGATTACAAAAGAAGCAAACCTTAGAAACTGTCTTCTATTTAGTTATAACTTTGTTGTCTCATAGAAAAATATAGTATAAAATTCTAGTTTTCAGTTTTGGATTGTTAGTCATCTCAAAGATTATAACCTATTGGTTAGTAGCATAAGAAGTACTCTTAATAAGAAGTAATTTAATAACTATGATTTTACCAAACCTTTCAAAGGTCTCTAGGATTGCTTTGAAGACTTGTTCTTTGTTGTTAAATAACATGTTTCTAACTTTAATAAGAAGAAAGAATCTTCTATTATTTGTAAAAATAAATCTATAATAGGTTTGATTAAAGATTACTATACTCTTATTAGTATAGTATCTAAACTATTTATTACTAATAAATGTTAGTTATAAGTGTGTTTAGTCACTTTTGGCAAAGTACTATTTTGCAGTAATCACATTTTGTCCTATATATTTATATTGAGAAATAATAATCTTGTTAAAAGAGTAATGCAAGGTTCCTAGTGTAGTGGTTGGGTTGTCATCCTTCAAGTGGCAGGTCTAAGGTTCAAATTCCACCTACAACAACATTTGGAAATTATATCTGCATTACAATAACTGTCTCCTGTCAATCAGTTGGCCTTATGTGGCTGTTACCCAGATACACCAAGTCGGGTCCCCCTGACATTGGGAGCTTAGGCATCTATGTGAAGTGTAACATTACTGTATATAGAGGAATGTTTACCAGTGTTGCATAAGACATCAGTGCAAACCCACAATAAGACCACCAGGCATAGAAGACTAAGAAACCGAGATGATAGAAACCCACTTGGAAATTCCTGAGTAAAGAGGTAGCATGAACTTTTGATGGTACTATCGGACTAGTTGAAGCCCATGAAACATCTTCATAAAAACTGAAGATTAAAACTGGATGGCAAATATGTATAGAGGAGCATATAACCAACTAGGCTGCCAGGTTCATCAAAGGAAAAGGATATAGAAGTATACTATACCAGGCCATTTGGATTGGTAGTCTGGACTAAGACTGATGGTTCCGAGTTGCAGCTAGTAGGAGATGATGGAGAAGATGCCGAAAAGATAGGTATTGGGGTTTTAGTAAACTTTACAAGGGTAGAAATAGTGTAACATAGTGGTTAAGCAGATAACCCCTGTGACTGCAAGTGTTAGGTAACTATAATGTGTTGCATAAAACTAGGTCTATATATATGAGACATAAAGGCTTTAGTAAGTTTTCTATTGAGGATAAAGTAGTCCTAAGGATACTGATAAGCATCAGGAACTTGAATGGGTGGCACCTTGAGATGTTCTTATAATACAAGGAAGACTGCATATACAAAAGCTTTAAATAGGCAAGACTCTTAGTTGGCTTGCAGGTATGGCAACTAGTGTAGAACTTATATAGTAATATGTAAGTGAACTACTTAAATTAGGCACCAAAAGTGCATGTGTGGCTAGTTATAATCTCCAATGTAAGGTAAGCTCCTGGTGGCATGCTATGTTCTAATATACTTGAATAAAAACATCGCAACTTCCAAGATAGGGACTTTAACTAAAAAAAAAGTAATGCAAGGTTTTGATATTAAAAATCAAAATGTTGTTATTTTTTAACTTAATGAAATTTCTAAATAATAAAATAGAGTATATAGACTGCTTTTTTTTTTAGTTTTACAAAAAGATTAGACTATTGTTTTTTGCTTTTTTGTAATATATTTGAGTTAGTATATGTTTTAATATATGAGTTGGTATGTGCTTTGTTATGTACCTTAGTATATGCTTCAATATATGTTTTAGCATCTGACATGTGATTTTTTTTTTCATTATCATATGATATTTCATGTATATATATCTTTGTTGTTATCAGTTCTTTATTTGAGACATTATCTTTTTTAGTTATTACAATTTTTGAACTTTTATTATTATTTTTTTTGTAATATTACTTTTGTATTCTGTTGCTAAGATAGCATTTCTATTTAGTTTTTACTTTACTTATTCATTTTAGTTTGTATTGTTGTTTAAAAAGAAACTTGTCTTGTATTTTATAATTTGTTTGTTTAAAATAAAGTTTATTTCAAATAAAACTCTTTTATGTTTTTAAAAATTAAATGAAATAAGTTTATGTTTCTTAAAAACAAGAACCTTTGTTTTAGTTCTAGTAAAAAATAAAAAGTCTTTGTTTTTTTTATTAATTTTTATTTTGTCAACAATAAAAATTCAGTTCAAATTGATAATAAATAAAAAAGAGTTTTTTTTTTTTTTTTTTTTTTTTTTTAAGATAACCTCTTTGGTCTTTTGACTTTTATTAATCACTTGTTAGTATTGTGGTTCAATGAACCATTACAGGAGAGCATACAATTGGCTATATATATAACTTATTTATATTACCTATTTAAGAACTCTGCCTAAAGGTTTCTTACTAATTGTCATATCTAACACTCCTGTTTGGATGTTTCATTTTAAATTCTTTGAACCTATAAACTGTATTAACTCACTAGATCATACCCAGATATCCAGATCATCATCTCAATTTTAGAACTAATTTATTTTTAAGATAAATCTTCCAGAGCCTTCTGTATCTATTTTTATAACTGATCTAGATATTATTATAGCAGAACTAATACTTGTAATTAGGGTTAACTATTAAATCACTATACCTTTGTAGAGTTTATTTAGACCTCAACATCTACTTCACAGTATAACTCTGATACTTTAATATATCTTTGCCTTTTTTTTTATTTTTTTTACCAAACTTCCAATTCAAATAACTTGTGTAGGACTATGACTAGTCTATTAGTATATCAGATCAGCCCGATATTCTTTTTTTTCAGTTCATTCTAGCAATCTGGTTGGTGATACCTTTGAAACTTATAACCCAGAGGTTCTTGTCTGTTTGACTACTATAACTGGGTACTAGATCTTGGTATCTGTTTCTCTAAGCTAGCCTTTACAGTAAAACTATCAAAGATCTAGATACTTCTTTATTCTGATTTTTCTAAATAGACTTCTTGTTATCCAATTTCAACAGATTTATATAATCCCAAGAACTTATTTAGTGTTTGCATCATCTGATTTGTCAGTTTGTATTTCTTTGTATAACTTCAATATTGTACAGATACTCTATGATCTGATAGTCATACTGGTATGATCACTATTACAGATATCCTAATCTAATCATTAGTAACAGTTGTTGTATTACAAATATTACATAGGTGATTATCCAAATTTTTACTGTTGATGGGATTTGAACACCCAACCTACCACTTGAAAGGTTGATAACCTGATCACTTCACTAGGTCACTATACCCCTCAAAAAAAATTTTAAATTTGATTGTTTTGTTATATTTTGATATATTTAATCTAATAAAATAAATGAATATTTTCTTTTTGTATGTATTTTTGAATATTTATTTATTATTAAAATTTCTGTATTCTATTTTATTATTAATTCTTAATATTGTTTAAAAAACCTTCAAATCTTTTGTTTTTCTTATTATTTATTTTTATATTATTAAATATATTAATTTTTAAATTTAAAAATCTTGTTTTTTTGATATTTCTGTTTTAATTACTCATTGAAATACTTAACATAATTAAGTAAACTTGCTTTCATTTTCTGAATATAAAGGTTTTAGTCCTTGTTACTTGTTTTGTAAATAAATTTTGAAAATTTTTAATTATTTTATATATCAAATATTCTTTACTTATAAAAAAAAAATAAAAAACAGAAAAGAGTTTTTTTATGTAAATAAAAATAAACTAAGCTTGCTAAAAAATCATTAAAAAATTTAACGATATTATATTTTAATGAAATTTAAAATTTCTTTTTAAATAAAATTTTTATTATGAATTCTAACACAACCATCCACGATTTTGCATCACAGAAAATCATGTGACAGTGGAATTTTGGAGGTGACGGAAGATCTGTGTTATTACTACGATTTTTTGGTTACTTAATGAAAAAGTGGCACGACACCACATAATAAAACTCCGACAAACTGTCTTCCCTTGCCAAGCTTTTTTGAGGTCAAACTTACAGATTTTTTTTATGTTAACGTCTTTTTAAAAAAATATTTCCTTTTCGTTAAATCAAAAATAAAGCAGTTTATCTATACCAGAAGTGGCCAATAGAATTGGGCCAAAAATACCTATTAATACTAAATCTTACTGGCATTATCAAACTCACAGACCATATCTATAAATAGGTTAACAGATCAAATACTATCGTATTCCCAAAGAAAAAAAAATTACTAGTTTTTTACATTGTTTAGTGGCTCTCGTGAATCCAAACATCACGTTTAATAGCGACAACACCATAAATGTCGGATATAAACGTACAAAATCTTTCTAATAAACAAAATGGGTTAAACGAGTCAACAGAAGTTGACACTACAAGTAATAATGACACCACTTTATGTGTTTCGCCGTATCCTTCATTAATAAATGATACGTCCACGTCTTTTAACCTACCATCGGTTGAGAATCGGACAGATTCTATTGAACAACCTTTAAATCGTGAAGAGTTTCGTAACAACATAACGAAAGAACAACCAACGTCTCAAAGTTTTACTCAAATAATTGAAGAGAATGTTGTACCTCATGATCAAAGCGAAGAGCAACCTAATAAAGGCTCTCTAGAGGATGATAAATTAACTAACTACGAACAGGAATCAACTGGTGAAACAAACCATGATTCTGTCCAAGAAGAAATAGTTACTGTTCTCGGTGAAGGAGTAGTTCATACTCCACCGAGTTTGTGTGTGATAGAGATAGATGTGCCAAACAATCAGACAAAAATGCCTTTATCCATCCCTGACAATAATACTATACAGAACCAGGTTTCGCTTGAAAAATCTGTCGAACCATACTGTCAATCTCCAACGCCAGAGTTATCTAATATTCCTCAACCATCCCTTGAGCAATCATTACCTAAAACTGGATTAACTAATCAAAATGAAAATGAAAATAACAATATGGATACAGATGATATTCTCGTTTCCCAAATTGATCAAGATTCAATTTCTAAATCTTTTCGCACAAAAGCAGCAGATCTTTTTGACGTCCCAAATAATGTTGCTACAAATAATGTTGCTACTGCAGGTGATACGTCACATTGTGAATTTGGCCCAAGTTCAAATCCTAATATTACTGAAAACACACCTTCATGGGATAATTCTGTTAATAATTCTACGGAATATAATTATGGCAAAGAACCTCGTAGATGGCGAGGCCGTCGTTCCCCAAGTTCTCAAGCTGATAATGAGAAATCTGACCATAAACTTCCTTTTAATTTGCCTAAATTAACCGACGCAGATTTTCAGGCCTTGCCATCTGGATCACGTTTATTTTTAGGAAATTTGTCTACACATTCCACTTCAAAAAAAGAACTTTACGACATTTTTTCCCCTCACGGGGAAATCTTGCAAATATCTATAAAAAATAGTTTTGGTTTTGTTCAATATAATAACCCAGAAAGTGTTAAAAAAGCTATTGAGAAGGAAAACGGTAGAGTTTTGCATGGATTGAAGTTAGGCAAGTATTTTATTCGGTGCTTAGAAAAATACAAATGGTTAGCCTTATAATTTACTTGTACGTGAACGATTAGGTTTGGAAGTCTCCCATGGTAAACCGTGGCATCATATACCACCGAATGAGGATGGGTCCAAACCTTCATTTGCTAACCGGCAAGAAAAACATTGGAATCAAAGAGGATGTAAGGAAGATTGGTACCAGAATGATCGTGATTATCCTCTAGGACGAGGGCATCAAGGTCAATCTTATCCAGATCGTCGATATGATGATTACGATCGTCGGAATACTGATTATAAATTTGACCGTCGTGCTTCATATGATTCAAGAGGTGGCTACGAATATTCTGATCAGAGAGATTATCGTTCTCCACAAGAATATCGTGGTGATTATAAAGATGAACATGAATATCGACCTCGGGACGATAGAGGATATCGTCGTAGTTCATATCGTGATGAGCATCGCGATGAAAGATATGCGCAACGTTCAAAGCCCTATAGAATCCCTTCTAGGGATTACATGGAACGAAGACAAAGTCGTGACCATCCTTATCGATCTCAATCTCATGATGAACCTGATGATGAGTTTCCCTTACCTCGGCGCCAAGGAAATGATGTCCCTGAATGTCAAATAATCGTACTTGAAGAAGTGGAACGGTGTGTCTTTTGTCTGTAACTTATTCAATACGACGCGGTTTTTTTTCAATGGCCGTCTCCAGAAGAAACTTCAATTAAAATGTACTATCCCATTTTTACAAAATAGTAATTTTCTTTGGCAAGTAGAAAGTTCTTTCCGCGAAGCAAATATCACTGTTCATACCCTTCATTTATCTCGAAAACTTCATATTCAAGCTGTTATTCGCCAAATGATTGTTGAAGGAGTTCATGCGGTTGTTTTCATGGAACGGCACAATGCAATAAACGGTCGTGTAAATATGCAAATATTCGATCAATCTCGAGTAAGAGATAATGTCAAATACGATGGTCAGTATTCATTAAGATGTTTTTGCAATATTTTGTTGCAATTATTGTTACTAAATGTATATCAAAAACATTTTATATCGTTAAGAATACAATAATATTAAAGTTGACGAAGCAGTTAACCTTTTATTGAGAACTCGAATTCTGCAACGGCAGGGCGATCTTAGACCGCCAGATAACCTATTGCTTAGTGGTCAACCAAATTTATCACAATCACAACAAGGACAGCCAGGTCCAACTGGGCTTCATCCAATATCTTTAAGCAACGTTAATTTTGCCGCACTTGCAAATCTCCTTGGGACTCTTCAGCAACAACAACCCCCCACTAATCCTAACCAGGGAATTCAACCAATGTCGATGATTCCTTTAGGAGGTATTCAACCTTCTCAACCAGGTTTGTTGAACCAACAACAGCCTCAAAACATCGATGTTCAACAATTACTTAGACAACTTACACCCCAAAACACCGGACTTCCAAACCAACCTCCTTTTATGCCTGTGCCCCCACATATGGCACCTAACCTTGGCCCACCACCTTCGCCCTATAATGCCCCGATGGTGGGTCAACCTCCCAATATCGTTCCTCCTAACCCAATTACACCTAATGGATTGTCCCTAACTCAGCATCAATCTCAACATATTAATCCCAATGTACCACAATTTTCAACCACAATTTCTACTGCTTCTAATGTGACAGACTTAATGGCACAGTTTAAGCAATATAGCAATCAGCGCTAAATAGAATAGGTATTAGCTATTTCATATGTCCAATTATTACCAACATTCAGTGGTCTACTATATTGCATGTCTATTATCTGTTTCAACGATATCTTTTACATTGAGAAAACGCATCTTTTTATAGATTATATGGATACTTCGAAGGATTTGTCGACATTCGAGTTATATTTAAAAGTAATTGTTTCCATCGGTTTCCTGTCCCTTTACATATCCTTTTGCTACCTACAATCCGTATATAAGGAATTATATATCGTTTTTTCTATGCCTCAATATTGAATAAAATGTACAGTCAGTAACGTCTCCAAACGAGTTACCCGTTATCACGTTTACTTGTCACAAAGTCCAAAAAAGTCTGTCTATACGTGCTTTAAATTATTAATAATAAATGTTTAGCATCAAGTCTGCTTATACAAAGCATCATGTTTTTTCTACTTGGGCATTTTGATTAATTGTTCCTAATGATGGGCTACAATGTTGTTTTACTTATATGGGCTAGGATGTTGTTTTACTTATATGGGCTAGGTGCTGAGAAAAGGGACGAAACTGACACTTTTTCAAAAGCTGTTGTTTTACATAAATCAATTTAAAATAAGATTAAGATCATTTTTCACTTAAGAATCAAAAGTAGTTGTGTTAATAAAATTTTGTAATATAGCTCCTTAAAGTTTGCATTTTCCTATGATTTATTATAAGAATTACAACATAAAAATTGATTTTCTGAAGATCTTTTTT